GCAGTTCTTGGGATGCATATATTTTAGGAAATTTTCTATTTTCTAATATTTTAATATTACATACATGTAATTTGACAGGGCAATAAATATGCCTATCATCCCAGAAGTTTAAGCAGATTGGTCAAAACGGATATTTCCAGTAGTTTAATCATTATTCTTGATAATGGAGCGCCGATGCACCGTCATAGCGATATACAGTGTAGATCACAACGCTTTGCCGATTGAACCCTGGAGTCCAATCATTTACTGTCTCTACGTCCCAACAACTCGGTATTGTTTGTGCAGCACTCGATAATTCATAGTGTTTCGGTGATCTTACGTGACATGAAATGACCGTTGGCATGAGATTAAAGTGTTCCTTAGTAAAAACCACAAAGCAAACTTGACACAATAAGGTTGGACAACAGATATTGCAACGTTAACTTATTATATTGTACAACTTGAACGTTGTTATTAGATGTTGTCCAACGCTATTGAGTCGTGGTTGTAAATGCGGTTGCGGTTGACTGCGGATGCGCAGGACAAGCGAGAGATAAGGTCGCCGCGCCGAAGCCAGACTCCCTTAACGCTCTTAAGGCCATCATTATATATCGCATCAGCAGAATTCATTATTATTATTTTTAAATAGGAAACTAATCAACAAAGGAAATGTTTATTCCATAGATGAATTTGGCATCGCCAATACGCCATCTGGCGAGGCTCACGTGCGACATAGGAGATCCAATCAATTTTCGGGCCTGGCGTTATTTCCTCGGGTTCATATTTTTTGCGTGCGTAGGGACGATGCAAATCGATTCATTTCTGTGCTGAATAATATTTCATTCTGCATTTTCTTTCATGTCGCTCTTTCCATTTTCTGACAAAAGCACGAAGCCGAAAGGACTTGGTTCTTATTGGCTCAAGTTGATAATTGAAATGTAGAAATGCCCAACTCCTAGTCATTAGGGATGGGGGATAAGGATGAGCATTGAGATATCGGAATGCAAGTGAAAAGCTCCAGTAGGTTGAGTTTTCCATGAACGATGTATGGGGAAGCTTAAGGACCGCTGCAAAACATTTATCGTTCCATAAATTCCTACGGGGTTACATCCGGTCATAAGCGTAGCGATGATAAACTGAGGAAGGGGAGGGGGGGGGGGGGGGGGGGGAACACTGAGACACTGTTTACAGCCCCCCAGTGACTTCTAGTTCTTTGGAGAACTCAAGAAGTTGCTTCGTAGGCACCACAATCTCTCTCAAATTGCTCTCGGAAGTGAGATTTGGCTGTGATTTCGGCATATCTCCGAAGAAACGTTCACTCAGTGCTAGCTCATCGGGATGAAAATATGCCAGTTTAGCATAAAAGAAGCAGGGAGACGAAGTTGAAATATGCATCGATGCGTCAAGGTAATGGGAGGACTCACTGGAAATGATAAAAGAAAATCTAGACGACCTGGAAGCCCATGTGAGTGAATGGAATCTCGTGGAATTGAAGAAGCGGAAGGAGAAGCCATGACGACTTTGATGTCGGTGAGAGAATTCTTCACCGCGGAATTGAAGATCCCTGACAACATACTGGTTGTGAAAGCATTCCGGATGGGAGAAAAAGAGAGCAGGAGGTCGCGACCCATCTTCATTGAGCGGGGCAAAGAGAGGATATGAACACGATAATGAAAGCAGCTAGCAAGCAGACGGATTCAGAGAGGAAAATCATTCAGAGGAAGCTCATTCCGTTTCTGATCGAATTTAGAAATTTGTCTTGATGAACCTCCACACCTTGATCAAGATCAAATGCAAATTGAGGTATTGATGAGACAGAGTGAGGAGATATCTGAAACGACAAATCTCTCAATTCCATCAAAATGTTGCCCTGAAATCAGAGAGAAATTGAAATTGAAAATCAGGATTCTATGAGGTCTGAAAGTAAAATTACAAAGAGTTAGGTTAGAAAATCNATTCTATTAAACTCTGTAAATTAAACACTTCAAGCATTGTAATTCATAATTTTGTAGGTTTTTTAATTGGTGGACCTAAAATTAATTTGCCCCAACCATCTTACCTACTAAAAAACAGGTTGCTTATTATTAAATGGCCGCTCTCTTTCATTAAAGATAAGTAGAAGTAACATCTAAAACTAAAAAAGAAAAATGGGAGGGATCCTGGCGTGGTGTACGAGTCTTTTTCCAGACTCATGCGAGTCTGTTTCCAGACTCGTCTGTGTCTGGAAAAAGACTCGTCGGCACTCCTTAGTCATGGGACACCTTCCCATGGCTATGTCATTAGCTTCACCAGGGTTTTGCACTCTGCCAGCCCTGGTGTTGGGAGGATCTCACCGTGGTGTGGCGGGGGCTATGTAACGGTCCACCACATGGCAGCGGGGCCCACCATACCTTTAGCTCCTATTTTTATTTTGGAATATTCTTCATAATAATGATGCTTCGATATACATACCTCCCCCCGGACCAATGAGGTCTCAATGATCGACACCTACCAATTCCTTGTTGATGGCTGAATCTGGACCCCAAGACCTTATTGACCCCCATCTGGACCAGGAAACAAGAGAGGCATTGAGAGACTGAGAGAGGAAGTGTATCCAATTTGTGGTGAGGACTCACCTGTGCCGTGACTGTAGTGAAGCACTGTGACTTGCTGAGGAAACTGCTTGGGTTTCCACTTGTTCGATGTATTGACCTAGGGATTGAACTTGCTGTTTGGGACTCGGCAGCACCGCCTTGTGGTGTTTGAGCAGGTCTGTGATTTCAGGTGTGTCATTTAGTTTGCATTCATTAGTTGCTGCCTTCCGCTGCTGTGGCTGTTAATTTTTTTCGTTTTTACCTCACAAGGAGAACCAAATTGGCGATTGTAAGGTCTTTCAAATTTTTTTTCTTTTCATGATTTCATGTTCCTTCCTTTGATGGAGCGGTGGTGGCGAGTTGTCATCGATGTAATGGAGGAATCATTTTAGAATCATTTTTGTCCTGCTCTGCACTGCTCCTATCGCCAGAGACAAGGTTATTTTTTTATACTTCACATTCCTAAGGTAGCTATTGCACATTTTTTGCATTTGTGTTTATATGTTTGTGAATTTTAATAGGCAATTTTGGGCAATGGTAATTTCAGGGGACTTTCGGTTTAAGGTTTCGGTTTCGGCATTTGTTCCCAGCTTCCTGTTTTCATTTTCAGATTGGTGAATTTGCTCAGGGAATCCATCTCATCCTGATTGTTTTGGTCATTCAGCACATATTAATACACCAGGTTGGAGTCTGGAGCTCGATGTCCTTCTCACTGGCTTCCAATTGTAAGATGTTTCAATGTTTGTTCCTTTTGAATTCTCATTCTTAGATCGAGAGATGGTGGGCGAGTTTAATGACATAATGCTCTCCATCTTTCCATCTCGTCTTTTCTGTTTCTTTGCAATGAATGACATTAATACTTTGACATTAATAATAAATCAATAATATGATTCGGTTCTTCTGATTTTAGGATCCGACTCAGAGACGTGTTGATGGCTTCGATTTGCAGTCATTCACCTGCACCCTCCAGACCCAGACGACCTTTCTTCTCCTTCTTTCTTCTTCCAATTCCTTGAGGATGGCTGAAACGGGACCCCAAGACCTTATTGACCCCCATCTGGACCAGAAAACAGAGAGGCATAGAGAGAGTGAGAGAGGAAGTTTTTTTGTGGCAGACATGGTTCATCCAATTTGGGATGAGAACTAAAAAGTGCACACCAGTGCGATAACCGTAGTGCGATACGGTGACTTGCTGACGTGACTTCTTGGTAGCCAGTTGTTCAATGTATGATTACGTTTGGTCTAGTGTCTTCTGACCCGTGCCACAAGCCTTTTGTGACTCAGCAACACCGCCCAGTGGTGTCTGAGCAGGTTTTGAGTGTGTGATTTAGTTCTCATTCTTTAGTAGGTACCTTCCGCTGCTTTTGTGTGATTGAATGTATTTTGAGAATATGGATGTCTCTTATTATGCCCGAGGCCCGTATTCACCACTGTACCCATGCTGGCTGCTTTGTTCTTTCCTTGCTTGATTTTGTTCATTAAGTGCAATACACGTTGTTATTATCAGCACTATCAGCAGTACTTTCTCTTTTCACTAAAATAAGGTGGTGTAAAATGGGATACCATGACCCTCTATTGGCTGTGAGTGCATGAGTAGCACGCATCATTACAGACCATTTGCCTAAGACGGCTTCCATTGGGAACGAAACGCCGGTGGATCAGGGAAGAAAGGATCCTCTGTAAACGTTATGAAGTTGCTCCTTGACATTTTTTCAACTTTCATTTTGGTCAACTTTCAATTTCAAGATTGGAACTTCATTTTTAATTAATCTGCAAACATTTAACTCATGATTTGGATTAGGAAGTTAATGAGAGGCACAGTAAGGTATTGAACGAGCATGTATTCTGAAGATGTCGAGGGTCTTGAGGGTCGTGCAAGGACACTCGTTACAAAGGCTAAAATGGTTAAGTCCTTTTTCACACAGACCGGCTCATGGGCGGGCTCGATGAACTCGGACCGCACCCAGTTCGTAGATTTCAGGAACCACACTTCGCTCCTTGCTTTGGCAGGTGATGGTTCGCCGTCTCACAAATCACTCTTAAAACGGTCTCGCCCGTGCCAGACATCGTTGCCCAGCGCCATCATGAATCCCAGTAGAATTAATTCGTTGATCAGATGTAAGAACTTGGAAAGGGATTCTTATCCCATTCCAAAGTGTCCCCCGAGTGGACCACCAGGAACACCGGAAAACTCACCAGGACATTAAAGCGGGATTAAAGGTAAGCAAAATAGGATCCCCTAATAATACCAAGAATAACACCAAGACTTCTTATTCAAAAGGGCTGGAGGAAAATATGTAACCGGCAATGGATAAATGAGTTTTTGTTGAAACACCACTGATGGGATGAAAAAAAAAAAGAAGTTTTTCTAAACAGTACGGGAGCTGACGGCACGGTGAAGCCACCTGCTCTCTTAAATGCAGTACTTGCCTATCCGGAAAACCAGGTGAGAGATTCTCCTGCACGCACATTCCCCTCGTACGCACGCGTGTGATTCTTATCTCGTGTACGAATGACTCACTCCTACATATAGCATGTAGGGGTACCTGTCATACTCGCTGTGTTCCTTCGAGTCCGCCCGAAAAATTATACCTTGCGTACATATCGAAGATGGCCAACTCGGACGTCCAGTTGTTCAACTATGACATTCTTCAACTCTCTTTCGGCTGTGGGATCCACACCGTCACGGTCAAGGTCAGTTCACCTCTCGCGATCGTTCCGTATGACAGAAATGAAATGTGCCTTCTGTGGTTTACGTCCAGACGGCGAAGATGATCAGGGTAGCAGGATGGATTCTCATCGTAATAGGAATTGTTTTGATCGGGCTTGCGATTACCAACATCGCAATACAGTCTGATGAAGGTTGCGAGGAGTGGTGTGGCAACGTGTTGGGAGCTTTCTTTTCTGCTCGTGAGTGACGCATTTCATTTCCTTCGTGACCCCTGCCGCGCTCCGTCAAGTACCTCTTCTACGCAGACGGGAATGTCATTACAAAATGTTCAACGTTAAAACATTATCTCTCGTTTTGCCGTGTGCTACATGAGCTGAAATGAATTTGCATCTTTTCAGTTGCATGCATCATCGGCGGGAGTCTAGCTATTAACCGAGTCAATCGGGCTTTGAAAATGCTCATGATAAACAAGAGGGCTGGATCATATCAGCAAGGATTTCCCAGCGCGTTTCCACAGCAACCTGCATACGGATACCCTGGTCAGCAGCCGCCAGCGTTTTCTCAAGGGTACCCAGGACCACCGCCGGATTACCGACCGAGTTAGAATGCCTGTCTGAATCTGAATGTCGAGAATATCGAGTTCGAGAAGAATGTGTGACTCGTGTGAATATTCTCTTGCCTGGAGTAAATGATATTCATCCTCACCCTTCAAAAATTCAATTTGAGACCCTTTCTACATTGTAACATTTCTCTACATTTCATTAATTTGTTGATCCACGATATCTTTAACACCCCACTTAAGATCAGATTGGAGGGAGGGATGGGAGGAATGAGAGGGTATCAGAAAGCAATAGAGCAGTTGCTCCTAACCTAAGGTTAGGGTCGCACTCCAGTATCGGTCCTATTCCCTCCTTTGCAATAAAAACTGAACAGCAGCTTTTTCTTCTGCATCACGTTTTTCGACCATCCAGATTCTGCCAAAGACTGCCAAGTATATCGCTCTCAAAAACATTTCATGTCATTCATCTTCAATTATGTTAAATTGCACTGTGGTGTAGCCTATAGGACTGTCTGTGACAAAATGCTTCAAAATGGTTCGAATCCTTGAAAATCTCATCCTGTCAGAACAGCTAGATTCCCAATCTCAGATAGTCACAAATCTCAGAGGTAACAGGTTTGACAGTTGGTCCCAGCTATCCTGGGAAGCATCTTGATAATTAATAACTTGAATCCCAAGAAAGCGCTATTCTAAAAAAGACTAGTCGAAACATGGCTATTGAGGAGAGGAAAGGAAGGGGAAGAGGTGTAGTTATGACAAACGAAATGAGCAAGCTCAACTCCTTTAGTGGGAGAGAAGTACATAGGTGTTGGAACACTGGTCGAGGTCCTTCTTTGTCGAAGCATGGGGCATCCAACTCCCGAGCTTCGAGACCTTCCCGATCGTGGACAGGCGGTGTTCGATGGTGGAGTGCGAGCACCCGAGGACGGCGGCCATGTCGCGAGTGGTCATGCGGGGATCGGCTTCTACGAATTGTAGTAGCGCCTCGTCATCCAACTCCGACGGGCGTCCCGACCTCGGCTTGTCTTTCACACTATAGTTTCCGGACCTAAAGCGAACGAACCGATTGAAGCACGTCTGCTCGCTGATGGCTCCTTCCAGTGGCACAGTGGCACAACGCTTGGCACAGACGGCGATGAGCGTCGGCTGCCTTCTCTCCCAGACGGAACTCATAGAGGAGGCACGTGCGGAGTTGGTCACTGTCAAGGTCGAACTTCTGGCTCATACGAGGGTCGTCCGAAAAGTTCTCTTTCTTTATTTTTTAAAAAGAGTTACACTCTCTGAATCTTTATTAAATTTCGGTGAGCACTGGTTATACCAAATAGTATTCACTGTGCGAAGTTTGGTACAAATTTAGCAACATTTAGACTCGCTGCCGGTTATTGCAGTCACTATGAACACCTCCGTCGTGCAAGAATCATTCTCGAAACATGACATTCGAGTCATCATCAAGTAAGAGAAGGGATCGAAAATACACTGAACCTGCACGCAAGAAGGGAGACTATTTATAGGCGAAGCGGGAAAATTCTAGAGAGCTTCCCTAAGATCTTTCCTAATACTAGCCATAAGACATTGACGGATTGTTTGGAGGGGGCGTTACACAAAACATCAATGTAATCTTTGACAAGCACACAAATGCCTCCTGACGGGCCTCGTCTTCGTTTCATCTTCTGCGCTTCTGTGCAGATGGAATTATAGTCAGGTAGTCCGAGATGCATTCCCTTTAGCAACCACGATTCCAAGATTGCAACGCAAACTGCTTCAGGTAGCTTTATAGGAAGGGGTCACACGAGTTTTTTCCAAGATACATAGACTATCAGATAGGCTCGAGTGGCTCACGCGCCTAGCGGCCGAGGAGGGAGCGCAGTCACTTGAGGCACGTGAATGTGCGTGTAGTGACGTCACAGCTGGGATATGATTCGCCTTTAGTTCGCTTCGATAGGGTGGGGGCTTGCTTTGGGGATATATTAATTTTCCGAACCACTTGGTCAAGGTTGATAGGCCAGGAAGTGGACTTTTCAGTTGTTCTCGAACGTATGTGAATGCTTTGGGGGAGAGAGCCCTGAGACACAAAGCCTTCACCAATTCGCCATGACCCCATTGTTTTGGCCTCTTTCCTCCCTTGAGAACATGTAATTGTGCATAAGAAAAATGTCATTCCAACAATTTTACATAAGCGCTTTCTTTTTTTTTCGTGATTCGGAGAACTCGGCAAGTTTTTTCTTGAGACATTTCACATCCTTCTTGAGTTTTAGATTTTCTAACCTAACTCTTTGTAATTTTACTTTCAGACCTGATAGAATTCTGATTTTCAATTTCAATTCCTCTCTGATTTCAGGGCAACATTTTGATGGAATTGAGAGATTTGTCGTTTCAGATATCTCCTCATTCTGTCTCATCAATACCTCAATTTGCATTTGATCTTAATCAAGGTGTGGAGGTTCATCAAGACAAAGTGGAATGGGCGATTTTTTATTGATGGAATTGAGAGATTTGTCGTTTCAGATATCTCCTCACTCTGTCTCATCAATACCTCAATTTGCATTTGATCTTAATCAAGGTGTGGAGGTTCATCAAGACAAAGTGGAATGGGCGATTTTTTTAGAAGTTTGTTCTTATGCCCCCCTTCATAGTCACTAGGAAGAAAGTGATTGGAGCAAACAAAGCTCCTTGTCCTATCCTGCAAGTCCATTCTCGGTCACAAGCTGATAACCATTTCTCCTTGGCTGCATCATCCCGTGGTACTAGGTGGAAGGTGGTGGGCGGATCATGATAACGTGAATTTCTCCATGTATTTCTACATGCGGGTACAATGCAGGATTGTCCGCTGCTTTTACCCATTTTTATTTTGCTTTCAAAGGATGAAGCTGATGTGTAAAAGAGCAGTCGAGTAGAATATCCACACAACGAATGAAAAGCTACGAAGAAAGGAAAGGCCTAAACAGAATTGAGAATCATGTATATAGCCTCGGGTCTGCAGCGCAGTCAGTGACAAGAAACAGCGAAAACCAGACGTAGCTGCCTCGGCGAGGGCTCAAAAGAGAATGAGTGGAATAGGCGCAGTCACGGCCTTTTATAGCGCAGTCACTTTAACGGCAGGTGAAAAAAGCCTTCACGCACCTAGCCACTCTGGAGGGCCTTGGCCTCCAATCAGCTCTCCTCTCGGCATGAATGTCCTCATCTGACCAATTCAGCAGTGAAGAACCACGTTCCCCCGCCGCGTCCGTTCTGCGAGCTGTATCACACCCTAATTACATTAATTACATGGCTATCTCACCTATCCTGCTTAGTCAATGACCTGAAAAGGCATGGGCTTGTAAGCCTATCGGCTACACGAACTGGCTTTGCGTATTCCAATATTGAATGCTTGAATGGATATTTGCGGTTGCCATGCGCCTAACCTAGTGATGTTGACGACCCTTAAGTTTGAGTTAAATCGTTTAGGAGTAGCTTATGTATTCTAAGTAATAATGTCAGATGGCTGCTTTCGAGGCCAGTATGGCTTCACGAGGATGAAAGGTCGGGTTTCAAAGCTTTGCGCTTGCGACCGGAAGGTAGGCAATTTGAAAGAAAGGATTTTAATAAATAACCTTTAATGTATTCGGTCGCCATGAGACAGTTTAAACGTTCGGCATTTTTAGTCAGTTTTTCGTCATTATATAAGTTGGGAAATCTTTGTTTTCTCATCACTCATATTTCGTTTATTGGGTCATAAGCACTACCATGTTTTAATATATGTTAAGAAACTAGAGATTGGATATGTGGACCCCAGTTTTCCTCTCGCAGTTCTAGTATACGTCGTGGAGAAATAGAAGTCATGACATATTGCCCCCTGTCGATATTTTATGCGCAAAAAATGTGAATGTCGAGGGGGAAAGGGCCTCTTAGTGAGAGAATGATGAGGGCAAGGAAATTGCCCGCTCTATCGACTTCTTATGTTTATGGGCTTCCAAGCTATATGCCCGGTAGGGGGTTCATATGAATCACGATAATTAATGTGTAACGCCATTAGAATCTGCACTTTCCGTCCATTGTGGTGGATTCACCAATTTGTCCTTTCCCTCATGTTCCTTTTACCATACTTGACAGCCGATTCCTTTGACAAATACAGGGTGATTTTTCATTCATGGGACCAATAAAACATTTATAATCTTGGAACAAATGAAGCTAGGTACATTACATTTTGCATGAAGCATCCATAAACATCGGAAATACAGAAACACAGGAAATACAGGCTCAATCTTCACATTGATGTTTTACGAGCGCCGCACTCTTGAAAAAGCTAAATAGAAAATAAAAATAGTCCATGGAAAAGTACAGGTTCCAATAGGTACAATCCAATTCGTTTGAAAAGTTTGTCCTTGACACTTGTTGATAGTCTAAAGCAACTAAAGCAACACGGCTTGATAACTGTCGCCTTTTGCTCCTGAGTTGCATCGTCGGGTCTTGCTTACGATTTAGGTTTCTGATGACCACACTTTAAAGTCATTTTATGGAGAGGAAGCTCAGCTGGAGTGTTCATGAACTCAATTGGATAATTATTTTGCTCTTCGTTATCCGAGACGACACCGTCGAGCCTATAATAGGTCTTCTCGCATGCTCCAGTTCGCATATTAATTTAAAGTATTTATTAAACAGCGAATGAATGATGATAGTCACCCAAATAAACATGTAAACACGTAAAGAAACGCGCACGTATTTGTAAACACGTAATTTTTGCGCGGGCTGCCAACATATTTATGACATTCCAATATTTAATAAATAATGCTGCTCTGTAGTTCCGTGCTTCATTCCAGGGAGTAATTGAAGAATTCCACATTCCAAAAAACCTCACCTCAAAAGGTGGAACAGCAGTCGTTTTCACTATTGGATAAGAATATTGGAATCGGGAACAAGAGCTCTGCACGGGCTACGGCCCGGCCCGATCGCCCCGACCCGACTCGACCGGACCCGCGGGCCGTCTTGGGCTGTTTTTCAACATCCTTCTTTGGGTCGGGCGGAATTTTAGCATTTAAATGCTATCGTTCTTTTAGTCCGAGACCATGGAAACTTCGAATCATAACCAGTGGCGTAGCGAGGAGGGGCTGGGGGGAGGGGGGCTGAAGCCCCCCCCAAGTTTGGTTCAAGTCCCCCCAACTCTAGTCTAAATGCATCCGCCCCCCTCCTAAGCGCTTATGTGATGCTTTCTGAACATGCTGTAAAGTAATAGACTTTGTTTTCTTTACGAATCAGCGGAATGTGAATCTAGACCCCAA